AAATTCAGTTTAGCACACTGGGGAATCTAAGCCTCTATTACACTGCCAGCCATAGGCTACGTCTACACTTCAGGCTTTTTGCGCAAGAACACTTGTTCTTGCGCAAAAACTTGCGGCGCGTCTACACTGCACACGTGTTCTCGCGCAAGCAAATTTATAGTAAAGCATCAGAAAAGAGGGCTTCTTGTGCAAGTGTTATTCCTCTCTCCACAAGGAATAAGCCCTCTTGTGCAAGAGTTCTTGCACAAGAAGGCAGTGTGGACGAGCAACAGGGGTTTCTTCCGCAAGAAACCACTATGGCTAAAATGGCCATCAGAGCTTTCTTGTGCAAGAGAGCGTCCACACTGCCATGGACGCTCTTGCGCGAAAGCGCATCTCTTGTGCAAAAAGCACATGGCAGTGTGGACGCACTCGTGCGCAAGACCTTTTGCACAAGAACTCTTGTGCAAAACAGTTCTTGCGCAAGAAGCCTGCAGTGTAGATATAGCCATAGTGGCTTTAATAGGTCAGAGTAACAGAATAAGTACAAACTACGCCTTTTTTTTTCTTCAACACACACAGCTAGGTGGCTTTCACCTTGGCTGTGTCTACATTGGCACCCCTTTCTGGAAAAGGGATGATAATGAGACCACTCGGAATTGCAAATGCTGCGGCAGATTTAAATATCCGCCGCGGCATTTGCATGAACATGACTGCCGCTTTTTTCCGGCTCGGGGTTTTGCGTCTAGACTGGCGCTTTTCTCCGGCAAACCCCCGAGCCAGAAAAAAGCAGCAGCCATGTTCATGCAAATGCCGAGGGGATATTTAAATCCCCCGCGGCATTTGCAATTCCGACTGGTCTCATTAGCATCCCTTTTCCGGAAAGGGATGCCAATGTAGACACAGCCCTTCTGTTTCTTTGAAGAGGTCTGATTTGATTTCACTCTAGTCTGGCTTTATTACTGGTATAAAACAATCTCTCATTACTCCCTGCCCAACACAAAAAAGCAGGCAGCCCTCCCCCGCACAATAATATATAGGGCCAAGGTAACTGTCCTTCCCAAGTGTCTATACTTTACCAATGACATAAGCTTGCTCCAGCCCATACCTCCCCCAGAATAATCTCCAGCTGGCCCTCATTACCAGTCAGCTACTGAGTTAAGAAAAGGCACTTTTTTAACCCTCAACGTCCATCACAACCCAAATGAAATTCAGTGGGTTTAGCACAAGCTGCCCCAAGTACATACACTTCAGGATGCTGATTAGCTACCACAGAAGCACTGTGACTGTAACTCCTGTTGATGGGAGCCTGGCTTCCTTTTTCCCCCTCCTCCCCTGCGGCTCCTTCTCAGAGACCCCACCCCTCTCCAAGGCCTCATCCCCCTCCCTTTCTCTCCCATCCTCACTCACTTTCACCAGGCTAGGGTAGAGGCTTGGGGTACAGGCCCTCGTCTTGGGCCAACAGAAGGGAGGGAGGGGCTTTGGGCTTAGCCCAGGGTAGGGGATTGGAGTCCAGGAGAGATTTCAGGGTGCAAGCTCTGGGAAGGCGTTTTGGTGCAGGGGGACTCACGTCTGGGGCAGCAGGTTGTATGCAGGACGAGGTTCAGGGCTGGGATAAGGGTTCAGGATGCAGGCTCTGGTTGGTGACCATTTAACTGAGATGGTTTTCAGGTGGAGCAGTGGAGTTAAGGCAGGCTTACTCCTGCCTTGGCCCTGCACCACTCCTGAAAGCAGCTCGTATGAACAGCAGTGGCTCCATGGTGCCATGTGCTGCCCCTCACCTACAGGCAATGAGCCCACAGCTACTGGACATGGTCCTCTATAATTGATCAATGGGAGCTGCAGGAGTGGTGTCTGCAGGCAAGGACAACGTGTGGACACCCCTTTCTCCTCCTTTCTCCGGGGCTGCAGGGAGATGCCAGCCATTTCCAGGAGCAGCAGTTACCACAAGGATAATGACTCCAGCCACGACAGGTTAGGCTTGAACTCACTACTCAAAGAACTAAATTTAAGCATAACAGAGAAATGAAAATGATGAAATGCACAGGCCAGTCAAAAACCAAAACTAATCCACTTTGCAAGCAGTAACGGAAGTAATAACAACCCCTCATGTATGTGTTGGGTCAGAGATGAGAGTGAATGACAGTGTATGTTTGTGAGACTGTCACTCACATAGTGTGTGTGTGTGTGTCTGTCAGATTCACATTGCCAAGCTCCCTGCATGCCCTTCTCTCTGTGTGAAGATGGGGTACCCAAGTGGGGGAAGGAAGGATACCCTAACATCAGTGCCCCCCCTTCTCCCTCTCACACCCTGCACAGCAAGCAGGAGGCTCCCGGGGGCGATGGGGGGTACAGCTCCAAGGCAGAGGGCAGGAGCAGCATGACAGTGTGTGGAGGGCAACTGAAATGCCAGTGCTTGATAGCTTCCTGGCCAAACCAGTCAGGATCCCCTGTCAGAGGCTCCAAGATCTACTGGTTGGTGACCACTGCCTTAGAGGAAGTCTCAGTAGAGAGCCTGTCAGTACACAGCCTCAACAAGGCACACTGGGGTGACTGCATGGGCTAGCTTGCAAGGTCACTCCACTATGAGCTGCCAATCTTTACAAACAGAGGGCGTTAGTCACCTTCACCAAAGCAATAATTTTGTTTTAACAAATGTTATAGAAACTTCAAAATCATATCATATATTTGAACTTACTTCCCACTCTATCCTGGGTATAAAAAAAGCCAGGTTTCCATCTACAGCCAGCCGCTGATCTGTAGAGGAGTCATAGTCTACTGTGAATGCTGGGGCCACTATATCTAGAGTGCTCATTAATTTGTATGCACCTGCTCTGCACATCTGCACTCCTGCTGCTGACTGCTAGGACAATTCTGAAACCGTTTGGTTTGCAAGCTGGCTGCCTGCCCAGCAGAACCTAAACACAATTCCACATCTCCCTAGCCAAAATGATGCCTGCAATGCATAATTCTCAGGGCAGCTCCTCAGGGAGGCTGGCAGCAGAGCTCCAATTTCGAGAAAGCAGCACAGACCCTTCAGGCAAATTGTAATATCCTTAGTCCAGTGAGCTGTACCTTACTCCACAAGTGGCCTCACTGAAGTCAATGGTACTACCTCCAGAGCCTGCCCTGTGTACTTTATTGGGGTTTACTAGCTGTGACCAAGGGCACAATGCCTAGCAGAGAGGCACTGCTCCACTAGTGTCATGTGGTTCCTGTAATACCTGTATGAGAATTCCTGGGAGCTGAACTCATAAGTTTCCCTATTATTAGCTGAAGTGTCTGGTGATGTTTCAATGTAACCAACAAAAATCATTTTATTAACACACAAACAAGTCACCTCAGGACAGACGGAAGAGAGATGGATCATGTAACTCTGCGTCTGTTTCATTCCTTAATCCCAGAACTAAGTGCATCTTCTGCTCCCTCTTTTCTCTTTCACCCATGTGGCTTCCATAAAGAAACCACTCGAGCGTACAATGAACGAAGCCTCAAATTGCTATCTTGCTTTGAAAAGCTCTAATGATTAGGCCTGAGAACAATAGTCCCATTTCTCACGTCAGTGGTGTAGCCAGAAGGGGACACTTGGGTGGGCCCTGACTTTGGGTGGGTAGGCAGTGTTTCAGGAGGGATTGGGCTGCCTCCCCCACAACTGATCAGAAAGGGTGTGTGTGTGTGTGTGTGTGGACATGCTGGTCAGTGGACTCTGAGCTCAGGAACACAGCTGGAGCACGGGGTCCACGTGCAGGAGCTTGCCCTGTTCTGCCTGCCAGCCACGTGCTCCAGCCCAAGAGCAGAGTCTGGGTGTGGGTTCTAGCCCTGCTCCTCCTGCTCCCCAGCTGGAGCACCTGGCAGAGCTGGCGTTAACCCCTAAGCCACAGCCATGCTCCTTGTTTGAAGCACCAGGCAGGCAGAGTGGGATGAGCCTCTGAGCCAGTTCCCCAGTTGGAGCTAGAGCAGGCAGAGCAGGGCAAGCACTGGAGCACAAGGAGATCTGGGGGGATGGGCCTAGATACAAAGTAGGCAGGTCATAGCCCACTCAGGCCCATCTAGGGTTGCACCCGTCACATGTAAAGCAGTGATTAGATCAAGAGATGGAGAGTTAGGGTCCTGGATTCTGTTCCTTGCCCTTGCCACAGACTCAATGTGTTAGTTGAAGCAGATCATGTAGGGCCCAGTTTCATAAGCACCCTCCAATATTGCATGCCCAGCTTTAGACACCTAAGATCTGATTTTCTACTGAGCACATTACAGCTCCCGTTGATATCAACTGAAGTTGTTGTTGGCCACCCAAAATTAGAGTGTGCTTTTGAAAAGTGGTTCTTCACCTCTTTCTGGACATGTCTGGCCACTTTACTGTGCTGCAACTTTCTCACTCAGAAGTGTGAAATTCCCCCTCTCCCCCAGCACAGCAAGCTACAGTGTTGTTAGATATCTATCAGGGATGGCCTAGATGGTGCTTGGTCCTGCTGTGAGGGCAGGGGACAGGACTCGATGACCTCTATGATTCTCTGAAAGCACTAGAGTAAACAGAAACCCAGCTCTGGGAACTACACTCCTTAGATAGAGTGCATAGAGTGCTGGTGATACACTTCCTCTTTAAAGCACCTTAATGTTGTAAGTTTAGACTTAGCTTCTGCCTCATTTAGTTCTATTTGTTTAAGTGGGGATAATAAACTGTGTTTACGTCAGAAAGGTACTATAAGACCTAATTAGTGAATTAATATTTGTAAAGTACATTGATATCTTGCAATGAAAGGAGAGGTAGAGGAACCATTTTTTTATTATTAATTTACTATCTTGAACTGTGAAAACACTCAACATTAGTTTTTCAGTTAAGATTTTGAGCGCATGAAGCCTGAGTCTCTCCTTGCTTACATAAGTGTAAATTTGGAATACCTCCACTGAAGTCAATGGAGTCACTGGAGGTTAATTCAAAGTGAGACAGCAAAGAATCAGGTGCATGGAATGTTATCGTAAGGACTCAGTACAATAATCCACAGTAATAGTGAGAGCTTTACCTGATACAGTTCTATTCGCTGCTCAGATACCCGTGCCTTTGAATTCTGCAAACGAAAAACTCTAAACTCTGCCTTCACCAAGTTGGAAGCATTTTTCTCCATCGCTGAGACGTCAAATCTGACGATTCTGTAGTAAAGGCTGTAATAGTTTGGTGGGATGGCATCTGCAAGAAGTTAGTGTAATCTTTTAAAATGATAAAATACATTGTTCTTTTAAAGACCACAAGCCTCGAGAAACAGTAAGGGAAATGTGTGCAGCATGATTCAGTTTCCGATGGCCAATTTAATATCATTAAGAATTTAACCAGAAAAGTAAACACATGTGTTAGACTAGAGGAATAGCAGATTAATAGAGATTAACTAGCCATTTCAAATTCTATTTCAGGGCATGCATTTAACCCCGTTCTTTGAAAGTAACAGTGGAAAATCCTGGATGCTTATAAACTGGAGCAAGTCCGTGACAGTTGATATCTGGCAAATGACTTCAGACTTGCATAGGCTTAATTGTATTTTCCAAGAAAACAGAATTTAATGCAAGCACTTTGCCCCATATAGGTTTCATTATTTCAAAGCCCAGAGTAAAAATATCCAGCCCTGTACAATGTGTTTTCTGTTTTACATATTCTGACTGTATTTAACTGCAAAAATAATTAGAAGGGAAAAGGGATAGACAAGCATGTACAAAAAGAAAACTATATGTACAGTGATCAACTGTCAATGATACCTGATCATGTATATTAAAATGCATCTGCTGTGCACTGGAGAGAGTTGGGCAAAAGCTCAGGCACCGTTTGAACATAGGAAAGCTGGAACAAAATCTTACAGTTACAAAAATCATCAGTTTAAATTTCAAAGGGTTTCCTCTCCTAAATCTTATCTGAGGTTCCCATGGCAAGCACTTACACCCAACTCCATACAACATAATGGGTCAGCAATCATTATAAGCTATTCTATCTAATTTTGTCCAGGAACACAAACAGCAATCCATATAACGTGCTGCTGAACACATGCTTTGCATGTGTGACAATTTTCCACACCATGCTGTTTGGCAAGAAGTCCTCCAGTTATGGAGTGGGTGGGGTAAGTAAGCCAAATGCAGAGATGAACCTGAGTGGCTCTAGGGGCCTGATACAACTCCCACTAAAAATAAAATGAAGACTGTTTTCTCTTTTACATTTTTTTCCAACTTGAAAACTGTATAGAAGAGAAACAAAGATGAAAAACATATACTGGGGGAACATTAAAAATAGACAAAATGGGCTAAATCCTCTCTCTACTGAGCTTTAGCAAAGTTATGCCAGCTGAAAATTTGAGCCACCATCTTTAAAACACAGCATTCTCCTCACATTTCACACAATCCAATTGTCATGCAGTGGAAGCAGTTGGTACCCAGACTGTTACAGGATTGAGCCTCTGAACAGTTAAACCCCAGGCATGACTCTTGAGCTTTTTTCAAATGTCCTGGAGGAGACTCTTGCTCAAACCCTTTCCCTGTATTTTGACAACTTTTCTCTTACTGATGGAATAGGGTTTCTTCTTCTGTGGTGTATTATACAATTACTAGCTATAGAAAAAGCAAGTCCAATAAGTGAGAGTCTATTTCTAAGCCACTACTAGTAGAGGATGATTGACCAGATCATTAATCATTTAAATCAACAAAGAACATGTTGCATTTCTACAATATCTTTAAGGTGTTTTTCCACTGTTATCTGAAGAATCCAGCAGTTCTAGATAATTTGCAAAAAGGCACCAACCTCACTTTTACATTTAGTACACCTGTCACAATGCATTACATCTATTTTTTGCATTCTGTCTGGACCTGAATATAATAAATAAATAAATAAATACAAGGCATATATCAATGCAGGAAAGGGAAGTGCACCATCAGCAAAGAGTGAAATCACATATTTCTATTGTCCTTATGGCTTTCATAAGGCTAAACCAACTTAAAATCTCATTAACAACTGGAAAATGGATAATTCTGAAAAGTAATTCTTAACAAGAGGAAAATTTCAGATGACAAAGAACAGATTTAGACCACAGTTTGGCTCCACTGCATGCAGTAGATTACCAATTCTCAGCATATGTGCCAAAGTCCACATAAAAGAGGACTCCCAAAATAAATCTCCACTCAATATAGTTAAATGCCTTCCTCACACCTACTGCAGTTAGCACATTGGTTGACCAGTCTTTCTTACTGGTACCATCAATTTAAAAAAATGAGCAAATATACCACATCCTAAAACAAACTCCCGCTGATCACTCTGCTGGACAACATCCTTGCCACCCAACTGGCTAATTTTTTTTTTGCAATAATCTTAAAATAAGAATTCAAAAGAGAATTTGGTCCATAAAGCCTCACTAACAGAAGGTCCTTATCTTGAGTCATACAGTGGTCATAGTCTCTCTCAGAGTAGTAGGGAATTGCCTTTGCTAAAGCTTCCCTTTACACTATCACACAACATTTAGTCTCAATATTTTTGAGAAATTCTATGAAAAGCAGGAGGTAAATCTCTACTAAGAGCAGAAACAGCCTGCTTGATTTCTTTTTAAGTTACAGAGAACGCCAAGACTACAACCTGCCTGTTGTCCAAATCTTGTCCTACTACTAGGAAAGGAAAATCTTCAGTAAGAAGCCTCAGATTTCACATCATGGGAGGAATATATTTTTGGCTAAAAATGCATAAATGTATCACTGATGTCTTTAGGATTAACTGTAAATTGTCCTTCCTCGTCAGTTAGTTAAGATATCGGCCTATAATTTTATTCCCTGTGGATAAACCAAGTTGGGAAACGGCTTCTCCTCCATTACACATAGGCAAATTCTGTGTTAGAATTAAGTTCTACTGTATTTCCACATATTTCTTCTGAATAAGATCTAACAAGGGCATCCTACAGGTTGCTCAATGTTGTTTGTAGAAACTATGCTTCCATGTCCCCTTTCTGATTTTTTTTAAATTTTAGATACAGCCTATTCATGAATCCATTCCTGAAGAGTCTGCCAGTAATTTCCTTGATGCACCACCGCAATACATTTTTTCTGAACAAAATCAATATTTTTCTCTATTTATTTTATCATTTTTTCATTAACAAATGAAATAGAATTCTATCTCCATTACATGAAAGGTATAGGGACATCAAAGATTTGGTAACAATGGAGGACGGGTCATTTATGTTACAAAATCCTTACAAATAACTGCAGAATCACTACGACTGCCGAAAGACTCCCACTGACTTTAAAAAGAGTTGGATTTGGCCTCAAGTGACTCTAAGATGCTGTAATTTGTACCTTCTTCTGAACCCCTCCTTAGCATACAAATTGTATCAAATTAGGCACAGTTGGACTCCCATCAACTCCGCTTTGACTCTGGCCCAATAATTTCAATGCATTTACACCAGAGATGAGTCTGTCCCATGTAGTTTCCAAGCACAGTTTCATTGTTAGAGAGCAGAAGCCTGAAACATTCTTTGAAAGAGCATCACAAATAAGTGGAACTAATTCAATATGTTTCCTGTTGTTAGGAAATGTAAACAACTTTTCTTTTCTCATTGGTAGAAACCATAAGGACTGACTTCACACATCCACCCACACTGGAAAGGCTGAGAACTTCCATCTAATCCTTCCATCAAGGGCTGGTAATAAATGCTCCAAAGATTTATTTTTTATTCCCTTTTGTGTTTATTAAACTTTGGAGGGTTTTCTTTGCTTTTTATTTTTCCCTCCTTCTCCTTTTCATTCTGGTGCTCTGCCCGTTCTTCATTATCACAGTTACAAAATATGAGGTCCCTTTTTCCCCTTCTCCTTTTTATTCTTCTTAACTGAATTATATGAATGGCCATGTAGTAGGCTTTGAAGAAGCATATGCAAATATTTATGAGAGTTGCTTGATTGTTATTAAATGCAGTTGTTATGCTTTCTGTACTCTGGCAGAAGTTCCTTGCCCTCTCTTAGAACTGTTTAGAGAGTTTAGATTGCAGCTTAGTGATAGCAATAAGCTACCAGCAGTCACTTATGCATAACATGATATTGTTTCTTCCCACCTCCTGTGTAGATTTCATTCCTGGCCCTTCATATGGATTCTTGTCCAGAGCAACCCCCCCTTTAACACCAATGGCATGTGACAACTGAAGTTGTATGTACTAGGAGATGGAGGAAAAGGCAACTTGTAATCTATTACGGAGTAACTTTCCAGCAGGATCCTATCCTTGCTGTCAGGCACTCTCTTCCAGTGAAAACCTCTCCAAGAATTAGACAGTTATCCAACACATCTGGATTCCAAAAACTCACAGCTAATTGTCCTCCTCACCACTTGTGACTCCAATGTGACTGCAGAATCCTGCAAAAAGCAGTCTCCAGAATGCAGAGAGCTGCCTATATGGAAATATACAGAGCCATATCATGCATATGGGCTACATTCAGGGGTCTAACATTCAAGTGTTCAGAGGCCCAAATGGGCAGCTCAGATATACATAGTCACCCCTATGATAAGCTTTTCCATCTGTGATAAAAGGTGTCTGAAAACAACCATCAGCTATTCCAGTGCCTTGGATCTAGATGGATCACACTGTGTCGGTAATTTGGAGCAGTTGCAGATACCACTCCCCACTTCCTGTAGTGATATCACAAACTCAGAAAGTATCACTGAGATATTCTTGGGCGTGTACAGCAGGGAGTTTTCAGCCGAGGGCTCCTGGCAATGGAATTCCCTTTCATCACAGAGCAGTATACATTTGTGTCTTGCCTCTTTCAGAGCATAATACAAGACACATCCATTTGTAGCTTGCGGGAGGTCCAGATTTGTAAAGGCAGCTAGGTGTTGATGCAATTCATCTCTTATTTAAGAATTTAAGTCTTGTTTTCAAAAGGGATTTAGATACTCAAGGAGACTAAATTGCATCGATTATCAATGAGACTTTGGATCCTGAGTGCCTAAATCCTTTTGAAAATGAGACTGCAGCTCCTGAGTTAGTTAGAAATGTTATCGCTGAGTACAGCAATGCCTAAATATCTTTAAAAATATGTTCTGGAGAGCCAAAGCAAAACAGTAGATTCTGAGAAAGAAAGGAAGAGAGGTTTCCCTGACATAAAGGCAATAAGAAAGAGCAAAAGTTTGGGACACCATTCACTGAATATACTGCTGAAACCATGGAAGAACTGAGAATT